CCACCTTCCTGTGGACGGCATCCACTGTCTCTCACAGGTAAAGATGCAACCTGTAACAGTTAAGGGTGGATGACTTGATTTAGGAGGGAATGCATGGGGGGGATCCTGGCAACGCTTAACTGTAGATATAGGAGAGCAGGCAACACTTAAAAATAAATTGAGTTGTTCTTGTGTTATGCGTTGGGAAGAACTTACATGTAATTGGAATGTTCTTTTGTATTCAATGGGTTCTTGCTATTAAAATGGCTTGCTATACCTCATGGCAAAAGCCATTAAAGGTGGATGACATGTCTTGAACTTGTTGAAAAAAACAAAGTTTTAAGAGAGAGCAAAACAAAATTCAGTTCTTGCTTGATGAAAGTTTAGCACAACCCTTGCACTATAGGTTCAGGGCTGGCACTGGAGAAAATGGAGGTAAAAAAACTCCTGTTTCAGCATCAGCTGCAGCCTTGCATTGATGGTAACATCTTGCGTGTAACAGAAAGGCACTGAATCTAATTAGAAATGTGTCATATGCCAACAGCAAGAGCAACACAAGCTACTGATGCACAACGCAGGCCTGAGCGACTTTGCAAGGCAGCTGGGGTTTGATGTGGTGGAAACCTTCAACGTCACTTTGCCAAGATACAAGGACTTCCTACAAGGAAAATGTGCCTGCCACTTTCACAAGGTGAGGGAGTCTTTCCACTTAAAGACAGTTTCCAAGGCAACTTCAGGGTGGCAAATGTATAGACCTACATGTATGTTACATGGGCAGCTTCATATAGACCATCCCAGCAGTTACGTTGTTGGCAGTACTATGCCTACACAAAGCTAGATTTTTCATTGTTTTCCTTGGATGTTTGATCAAAATTGCATCAGAATTTTTCCTGTTGCAGAAAATATCTTTTCCGACACAACGTTTAAAAACCACGGACAAAATGTCATCCTTAAATACCTGAAAATGACCTTAAACAAGGCATTTTGCCGATTCCTGTTCTGTGCATACAAAGAAGGAAAAACTTTATTGCGCAACAGATGTAGAAGATACATCGTATGGCAAAATGCACATAATACATTACAGGTTTTGCACAGGCCTGGTACGTTCTGTCGATGTGTTGACCTTCCCCGTGGTTAGTGACAGACACACTGCAGTAGTTAGCATAGTTTAGGTCTGAATGTTTCCACCTCTAGGACAGGACTGACCTTCCCCTGCTAGGCAAGGTAATTTGTCGTGCCCCACACGGAAAGGTGAAAGAAACATAAACTGACAAGAAGGGCTCGGACTAAGCTGTATGACTTCAATCACCTCGCCCGGTGCCAACAGAAACAACACGCTGGTATTTAGGCATCATTAGTGAAATCTGCCACTGTTATTTTGTTATTTCTGTCGATTCGGGGACTTGTCTCACTAACCTAGTGAACCCGGGGCTTAAGAACTGACAGGAGATATTTTGCTTTGGGATTCCTGCCTCGGCCTTTTGTGCTCCTGATATCCACAAAATGACAATCTGCTGAGATATACCTGTTGACAGGACACGGGGGAAAAACAAAGATTTTCTCTCGACGTGACAATGATAGAAGACATGTGCAAGTCCGGACCGTTGCATAGGTCTAGCCAAACTGAATTTTTTTTCAATCATCTCAATTTTGTTTGACGTAAATTTCAAAATATTGACTCACTGAAATGCTACTTCCTGCATTTTTAGGTGCAAATTTTGCTGGTAGACGCTTAGTTTAATGACTGTAATACATCTGTTTTGGTGAAAAATATACTCCTTCTATGTCTTTATTGTAGGTCACACCAATTTGATTTGTTGGTTCTTTGATTTTTTGAAAATACATGTACATTGTATGGTTAACTGGAAAAACCTAATGAAAGTAAAGTTTCAAGACCTGGTTGATGCCTCAGTTTTATGTAGTAAATACAGTCAAATGAGGGAAAGACTGATGCTAGGTAGAACACTGAGTACATGTATGTTTGATTGCAGGTTTCTAAGACCCATTTAAAACACTCAGGCAGAAACCTAACATCTGAAAACTGTGTACGCATGCGTGCTTACAAAAACTCATCATATTTTTCTTTTTATCTACAGGTCAGACAGGTAAGAGGAGAGCACACAGCAACAAACATCACAAAAAGGGAGACCCTCCCCCCTCACAGACAGTATACCGACCCGGGTGGTGAGGAGGAGGATATGTACGGACCAGTCCATTACCATGTGGAGGGGGACATCAATGCCCTGTATTCAGAGATACTCCTTAACAGAATATGCGAGCCTCCCAGATGATAGAGTTACGGGTGAGAAATAAAGGTATTATGTATGGCAGGATCATGGGAAAAGCTTCTGAAACTATTGGAAGTTTTGTCCATGTGTGGTCGGTGCATATTGGAGCTTGCTAAAGGCAAGAAAGCTTTGGCTACCATATGCAAAGCATTACCCTTGCAAAATGCAGTGCATTCCACTTATATAACATTACCTGTACTTATGTATATATGAAATACAGAACAATCGTGTACAGAGGCTGTTATCTGAATTATATTAAGTCACATAACTTGTATATACAAGGTATAGAAAGCGATAATATATTTATGTTGCCTTAAATCTATCCTGAAGTTATTTTTAAGTAGGTAACGTTACATGTAGCAAGAGGAAGGCCTTTGTATGTTTAAAAGCTCAGGGACATCATTTAATCAACAATGCCTTCAGTGTTTCATACATTACTAGTTGGTCAAGAGGTTATCTTTTACACAGGTGTGTGCGGAAAGTACTCTACTACACACTATTGTGCTCTACATGTTCGCCATGTTCAAGCAAAAAAATGTTACTTTTAGGCCACACCAATTTAATTTCTTGGTTAACGGATTTTTCTAGAAAAAAGGTGTGAGCGGGCGAAAAAAAAAATCCTATAATGGCCCAAAATGGTACCATAGGAGCCATGAAGTCCACACACCAGGCTTGTTCAAAATTTAAACAATGAGTTCTGAACTTTTAATGATACCATTGCATTGAAAGATGGAATAACTGTAAGAACTAGTAAGAAAAGGACTGTTTTCAACTGTTCAGGGCAAAATATGAGCCTTTTGCAGTTGATTCTGAATTTTTATTTTTATTTTCAAATCAGAAAAAAATGAAGCGGGCGAATTTGTTAACCAAGAAATTAAATTGGTGTGGCCTTGTGTACAGTATATTTATACATGTATGCCCCTTGATGTTTTCTTTGTAGAAGCAAGTCTACTGAAATTTCCTTTATCTGTCACCATTAGTTATAGTCAGAATAGTTCTGCGTCAAGAAAAGAAAGACTATCAAACCTTCCATCTATCAGCCTATCAAAAAGAGTAGCAAAATATTGTATGATAAAAAATACATTTTAGCATTGTCTCTACCACTTAGCATATGTCCGTCCATGTACAATATAGTTTATTTCATCCCAAAGTCTTTGAGTAGTGTAAGTCCCGATTTACATGCAGATAAAATCCTAACAGTAAGAAAACTATGTACATGTATGCATGCAAGCATACGAAAATTGCATACACATCAACTTTTTCCTGCATATAAATCAGTCTGTAACATTTGATCTGACCGTACATTCTTGACATACGTCAAAGCAGGCCAATTTACACGCAGGACAAATTTAACTTAAGTTAATGTATACAGTTTTCGTGTGCTCACATGCTTTACACAGTTTTCTTAACGCTTACTAAGTCTTAGCACCAAGAAGTAAAGGTTCGGAATCAGATGTAAGTTACCTCAGAAATTTCAGGGACTTGAAGTGCCAAAAATTGCTCAGAAACCACTTTTTAAACGATTAAAACAACGTACTGCCCTACCTTGGTTACCCATTCCTACAATATGATCACAAAGAAATAGTGTCTAAGCATAGACCATTGTAGTGCATGTATAATAGAATGCTACAGTTGTACTATGTACAGTACTGTATATCATGTACATATCATGACAGATCACACAGATAAAAAGTGTTCGTTTACTTGTTATGGGTGAATTTTCATACTACATGTAGAAGTGATGTGCTCACCATCATGGTCTTGATTTTTAATATGAAAAATAGTGTTTTGCTGTGCGTAACTTTCCTCTAACTTTCACAACTTTTCTCAACTCTAACAGTGTTACTCCTTTAGTTTCCACATTCAAGACAGACTTTTGCAGAGATTGTAACTTTCTTGAATCCACATAACAGCAAAAAGTACAATCTTGTATTGATACTGCCATACATGTACCATGTTTATGTGCCATGTTCCAACTTTTAAAAAAATAATTCAACCACCAAGTGGTTGGTGTTTTATGTTTAAGATAACTGCATTATGTTTGACATTTTAGCTGTAAAATGTTAACCACTACCAACACTGTGTTGTAATCACCATACATACATTACTAATACTACACATTGGAATCTATGGCAACGAGTATCAAATGGCGATCATAGATTTTAAACATAGATTTTAAATGTAGGCACAGGAAAGAACTGTATATTTATTGCAAAGCAGAGCTTTTAAAAAGATCTTATAAAGTTATAGTGTTGTTGAATAAAAGAAGCAAGAGTTGCTTATATGTGATTTATAAGTGTCAAGTGTGAATCATTCATCCAGGTATCTCCCTTCTTACAATGTACCAGCTACTAGACTTGCAATTGTACCTTTTTCCATTGACTTATACACACCAAATATTAAGATTTGCCACTGCAGTTCCAGAACAAGGTACATGTACTAGGGGTACCAAACTCACGTCACTACTTCCTGAGCACAAGAGCTATTTGCCATGCAAGCGTCAAGACTGTAACATGTCCAGATCACAAGATATCAAAACTGGACGTTCCACTGCAGTATCATAACAAGCCACCAGGAGGCCCAATATTTTTGAAACCTACTCATAGAATATCAAGATAGTCTGCGGTGACATGCCATACTTATTGTGTTCAGACACAGATAGACAGACACACACATGTACAGGCACTTTCTCCCCAAAACATGACCTTCTGGCGAAGGTAACAAAGTATGGTTGGGATCAAGAAACATCTCTGCTTGTTTTTGAAGTTGAGTAACAAAACCATATGCTGCCAAATTTCTGACTTTTGTAGGCTATTCTAATATACATGTACTTGTTAACTGAGGGTAATACATGTATATTTGTGTTGAAGTGTCAACTTATATGAGGTAATGATTTTTATTCCTATTCCTTTTTTTAAAGCTTTTTAAGGAGAGAAAATTTGTGTACTAATGTGTCAAATCCAGACTAGATTGGTCAGCCAAGAATATGTCAAGAATGACTAGCATGAGGGCTCTGGTGTGGTTCAGAGATGGAGCAGGTCAGCTTATTAAAGGTGTGATGAAAGAAAAATAACCAGGCTATGGTCCATCAAAGTGGACTGAAAATTCAAGGCAGAACAAGGATGTCAAGGTTTAGAGCCAAGTTTCACATGTTATACAGTCAAACCTGACCAAGGCGACCATCTAGGGGACGGAAGAAAACAGGTCACATTGAACAGGCACATGGCACAGTTTATGTCGAAAAAAAAAAACATTTTCCAGCAGTCGAGCCAATCTGACTGGTTTCTCCATGATTTCTCTTTAGTTATCATCAATAACCAACAGATCGGAAATGACGTGGTCGTCATAGGCAGGTTGAGCGGACCCAACTCAGGGCGGCCGTGTTGGGCAGATCACTTAATGCTTGCGTCAATGGGGAAATTCTTGGGACCGAGAAAAAGCGGTCACCATGGCCCGGTGGTCAGCTTGAAGAGGTGGTCATCTTGGCAGGTTTGACTGTACAGCATCCCGGACCCAGTCGGCACAAGAAAGGGATGAAGATGTCATATACCTGTAGTGTGGCTGTCAGCCACGTCCTGTACCTGCTGGGTGACAAATACGAGGCTAACTTCAGTCCGGTCGCGGTCAGGTTCTCTGCTGAGGACATTTGGTGGACCAGCTGTTTTCCGCTAATTTGTCATCCCCCAAACTCGATCAGGGACACAGAAAAAAAGTGTTGCCCCGGAAAAACATTTGGGTCCAGACGGTGCCGATCTTTGGGAGGCCGGGCGAGATTCGGCAGGTAGACCCCCACCCAGGACGGGGATTAAAGCTTTAAGCTCCTGTCACTAATCTCCAAGCAGATCCCTCTCGGTGGCAAAAAGACAGTATCAAATTGGCCAGGCAGTATCCATTAGCCAGAGAAGCTCCGCGGCCACCGACGGGGATCAGGACAAAAAAAAACGCCATATATAAAAAGGTAACGATCTTTCCCCACAACCTCTGCTTGGAGAGTACCTGTCACACATTCAGAACCTTTCCTCCGACCGCCAGCCTGAAGTTTCGAGAGTAGCCTGACCTGATTAAGGCCACGCCCACCTTTCTGTACGAATCTACATCGAATTTGAGTTAAATTTGAGTCAAATTTGACCTCCGAACCGTTTAGCGCTGCTGACTATTGGACACTGCTGACTGGTTTTATATAACATTTTGAAAGCATAAGTATTGTTTAATAATATCAGCCCTTTTCTGTCAGATCTTGGGCAGATACCTATCAAATCATGCAAAGTGTCTCACTTGAATCATTCATGGTATGCACTCGAAGAGACTTGCAAAGGCAGGTGTACAGATAAGACTTGGTAGTCAGTCGAGCTACCAGAATTGCAGTCAGACTATTGCAAATAAACTAGAAAAACAGCGTCATAAGCCAAGATGTCTGGTATTTGAGACTACCCTCCAAGCAGAGGCTTATTTTATTCTGTTATATATTTTCTGGGCGTTTTCATCGGGCTTTCTTTTGCACTAGGGTCCTTTTTCACACCAGCCAAACTTCGGGTGCCAATATTTAACTGTCTGGCGAATTTGATACTGTCTTTGCACTTGCAGCCATCAAAATGTCTGATTGGAGATAACTTTAAGACTAGAAGATGAGGTACATTTTATTGTGGATTATTCTTTGTATAACAGCGAAAGAAGCATTCTTTCCGATTATGTGGTAAGTAAATTTCCCATTTTGAGTATTTGCATAGTATAGAGAAATTTATATTCCTTACAGTCTTCGATAAACCAGCTCTAACTAAACATA